AGTTGTTGGTCGAAAGAGCGAATTTCTGTTACCACTTAATTTAACTGAGTGGGAGGAGTATATTCATTCCGAGAAGGCCAATGTTCACCTTACACAATTAGTTTTGATTCTCTTTTCTCCTCGCATGGCCTCTTGATCTCCTCAGTTGGGAGCCTACTCTCCGTCACATAATGCAGGATAATTTCGCCGTGGCAACTATAATATACTCAGAGTGAAAAATTATTTTCTAGATAAAGAAAGAGCACCTTATTTTTTTAGTTCCTCTGATGTGAGCGCAGGGCGGCCTCCTCAGCCATCAGATGCACCATGGACCTCTTCTCTACGGTCGGCCAGCCAGTTAGCCAGTGCCCGCATCCTTGATGCATCGCGCGGGCGTGAACACACCTATATCTATATCAATATAAAAAATCCAAATGAGTTGGAAAGCAAATGATCTCGGCCTTTTCATCTATGTGTACTTCTAATCGAATTAATGGGCCATATATTTTCTTGGACCAATGCAAACTCCAGATTAGTTGCGCAATTATAACCTCTAATACTAGCATATAAACAAATTAATCTCTTGCACTCGTACCTGACGGCGTACACGTTAACCTCTATGCTTACCGTCATTGCCAAGAAAAAACAAAAATAAAAACTCTATGCTTACCGCTGAGCTCCCTCTTTGATAGCTACACGCCATGCTGGCCATGTCGCCCTAAGCTCCTGCTCCTCGGCTAGAGCCCATAGCATTTTCTGCTGCAATGGTCTACCATTAATCCTGGACGAGCCCGAGCGTGCGCTACTCCACCTGCACGGCTGCACCCCAATAGCTACTCTCATGTAACTACTTGCACCGACCTGGTGGCACGTTCCTCACACTCTCGCCGCCGGATGCCTCCAGGTCCAGGGTGCAGGTTGGCATCCTAACTACTGGACCAAGCCTAACTAACTGGTCTAGGCCATTAGCCGTGTAATCGTGCAGCATCATAAAGTTCCTATAACTAACTGGACCAAGCCTACCTAGATTGGCAGCCCATACAATAACAACACGGGAGCTGAGGAGTTGCTGGTATCTGCTAGGTCTGGCGGATATGGAGCCCTCGCCCCTCGGTATCACAGAAGGGAGAATGAAGCCAATTTGCCGGAGCGACCACATGCATGGGGGTGAAACGGCGAGAGTTTCTTCACGCTGGTTCTGTGCTGGGAGCCTGGGACAGCCTGGGAGTGTTGGGCTGTGCTTTTTTGGGCCTGACCTCACGGGATGGCCTGATCCGGTGGCTGGCGTGCCACGCCGTGCCGGGCCGAGAAAATGGGCACGACATGAGAGCCGGCACCCACACAGGACGGCATGGGAAAAGCCCGTGTATGCCTCTCGAGGTCAACGAACAGCCCGCAGCCATAGCAGCCGCCTGCGCTCCGGCGCTCCGAGTTTTGTCCCATGGCCGCGCAGGCGTGCACGGCCTCCCGCGTCGCCCACCCTCCCCCGCGTTTGGAGCTCCGTCTTGCGGATCCCCTCGCCCCGCGGCGCTCCTCTGGGCCGCGCTTACGGCCCCGCCTGTCACGGGCGGTCCACGCCGTGCTCACCGCACCTCGCCGCTCTCATCAGCCCGTGGTCGGAGCTCTGTCCCCCGCATCCCCTCTCCTCGCCGCGATCTGGCCGAGCCGAATGAATGGTGCGTAGCCAAACGGGGAGTCGGGGTACATGGCGGGAATCCGTCGTGTCAATCCTTGTCCCACAGCAAGCTCCCAGCGCAGGTCAGCGCCGTCGTCGTCCATGGTGGGCCGCAGCACGGCAGGACCCAACGGCAGCCCGGCGTGCCGTGCGGACTGGCCGGGCCGACTGGCCTGAGGACGAGGCGGTCCGAGGCATGACGGGCCTGTGCCGTGCTAACCTGACCCGGCCCAAGTCTTTTACTATCAGTGTTTCATTACAATGCTTGTTTATATTGTGTAATCTGTTACTCCGTGCATGTGCACAGTTTCTCACGTTCGTGTGCAGAGGGATCAAGCAAAGCATATATACCGTTAAGAGCTCTTCATGCATAGGTTCGTTTGCTTTGAGTATGTCTCCATAATCATTGTCCGCGGCAGTAAAATTTCTGTCTGTTTTCAGTATTGATAAAATTAGCCATCATTGTCCAGTGACCAAGTAAATTCTGCAACTGGTTAATTCTCTGCTTTTTATCCTTTGTCCTTTGCATGAAATCTTCAGTTTTAGGCGTGTCTTCTTGAGGGAATTCTCCTTTGGTCTCCTGCATAATCATTTCATGAAGCTATAAAATTGCACATAGGTTCCAAGTCAGTAGAAATATAGACATGCTTAATAACACTAATAGAAGTCACAAAGACACTGTTTATATTTGCTGAACTACCATTGCTGAGGTAGGAAATCTAGTAGCTTAGTGTTCTATGTTCTGGATAAATTATTTGACTGAAACTATCCAGAATGGGTTTCAGAAATTCGATACACGAACCTTATATCATTATCAGATGTGTCATTTTGTACCGATAGGTCAGTTCTATCTTATACTCCTACCATCCTATGTCTATTTGAAGATTTAATTAGTAGAGCACATTATACTTTGAAGTATAGAAGACTGATGGTTGTTGATACAGGAGACCATCATACATATGTACGCATTATTATATCAGCCCGGGCAAAGACCGGCCTGGCTGCGTCGTTCGCGCAAGCCGGGCCCGGAAGTGTGTCCGTCTAGGGCCGAGTGTCGTCCGTCACCAGCTGGGCTGTTTCATTCGCCTGACCCGGGGTACGAGCGGGCGCGACACGTTCGCTCTCTGCTAGGCTATTTTGTTCAGGTGACCCGGCTCAGGGCGTGAGCGACGGACCGGCCGCACCGCCAAGGCTGTTCCATGAAGGCATGAATGGTGCTCGGCTTTGTGCGAATTGAGATGCTTCGTGGGCTTTCGGGAATTTTCTTAAGTTGGTTTCGTTTTTCTTTAAGTTTGTTGTTTTTTGTGCCGAGTGGGGCGCAACGTCAGATGCCGCGCACATCCACCTGTCTCTCACTTCGCTTTGCAGCTTCTGGTTCATCCAGCTTTGTCGCCGGTGGTGGTGTTTGTCGTTGGGCGACGTACTGTTTGCTCCTCCTATCGGCCGAGGTTTGGATATTTTCCTGCTTGCATGTGACCCATAGGCTGCGTTTGCAACCGTTTGACTTCTTCTATTCTGGCCGTTCTTATCACGACCAGATGAAGAGGAAGGTATCTCACAGCCATGCAAATCGTTGCCCCCCGACAATGACGCATGTGGTGTAGTACAGTTCGCGAGCCAGATGTTGGGTCTGGCCTCGTCAGTGTACTTGTCCACACCATAGGGCCGAAAGCGTTCCAGGAACTTGACATTGCGGGTGCAGGTGCCATAAGCTCTCGATCCCATGTAGGCGATGTCATCGTCTTGAGGATGATCGTCTTGATCTTGAGGGTCAGGGTCCTCAACTCGATGGCCACTAACATGGCGATCATGACACCCATTGTCTCGGGAAGGCCTGAGCTGCTAATGGATTGAGGTGGCAAGGCGCCTCTCCTCCCCCTCCTGGTCTTGAGACCGTTGAGCGATGACGAGCTCATGCCCATCTCTTGGCTAGCCAATCCTGGACTGGCTGAAGCCTCCGGGAGATGAGAGAGGAGCCCGAATTTTGCGTGCCCTTTGTGCGCTTGATCTTGGAGCTTGCTGTGACCGAGATGGCCTGAGCCCCAGAGATGGCCCCGTGCTGAACAACGGCTTCCTCAAGTTGGAAGAGGATTTGGTGGATCTTGTCATGGCCTTCCGCACCTTTCGAGATCTCGATCGCGTGGGATGCCATCGTGGCGGCGACGAGGTTCTTGACCGGAGAGTCGAAGACGGGGACACCCTTCTTCTTCAGCAAGCCAAACTCGACGTTGACTTGACATCCTTGATTGCACAACTCCTAAACACGACCACCGCGCTAGGTGGCGAGCTTGTTCTTTGGGCACTCGAGCTCTTCCCGCTTGACAGGGAGGTTAAAGGCACAATGCCTCATGTTTCACCCCTTCAGGATATTGGTCGGTGATGGGGGTCATCAAGGTGTCGAAGTTGTCGGCCGCGCTGGCTATAACCCCTGTCATGATGACCTCATGAGAGGCATCATAGCTGGTTGGTCCTTCACTTCTGTCTGCACCGGAAACAAGGATAGGCAAGAATGAGTCAACCTTGCCAACTAGATGAAAACCCAGATCTATGGACGAACAAGATGAAGAGGCTTGCTCAGACGGCTCGTGGCGGGGCTGTTTGAGCGTGACATGCCAAGATTGTAATAGATGAAGCCCGAGCAGCAAGGCCTTTGCCTGGCTAAAGGAGGTGGCATGGATCAGACTCCCCCCTTCTTGGAGACCATGTGCATGTAGCCGAAGAGAAGATCTCAACAGGAGGCAACACCACCTATCTTCAAAGTTGGGGAAGGGACCTCGATCTGATCAAATGGATCTATACAACCACTTCCTGGCACATCAACTCTTGGTGTCTTCAGACCTGTGGTTCGTCGAGTGAAGTTGTATTTGTTCGGAGGGGATGCGAGCGGCGGATTGAGATGGTTGCACGCGATACACGTTCTACCCATGTTTAGGCCCTCCCTAGAGAGGTAATACCCTACTCCTACTTACCGTGGTTGTATTGCTCGAGTGCTCACTGGTGATCGGGAAGATTTCCCAAGGGATGTCTTTCTTGTGTTACAAGCTCAGAGCTACGGCGGCGACCGGGGAAGAAGATGAGGGTAGGTGAAAACTGTTGGGTTTAGTACCACATCGGTTGTGAAGGAGACATAACACGACTTATAAGGGCCAGGGTGTCCCCTCCTAATAGGCTAGTCTTTTGGGGCGAGAAGGCCCAAGGCCTCTCATAAGTCGGTGTTGTTCTCCGGTTGGGCCTGGTGACGCAAGTGGGTCCGAAATACTGGTGTTGGCGGACCTGAGATTGCGCAACAGAAACCCTAGCTAGATGTCTCTAGAATGATTTGTCCGGCTTGATAGGGCCCCTAGTTTGCCTTATATACTTGGCAAGGCTAGAGTTACATGGCTTGGGGCAGACTACTGGTCGGCTCGCGCCCCTTGGTCGAACCGAACCATGTCATGCGCATATAGCTACTTGCATCCTTGTCTCCTCTGGGTAGAGTGGATGACTTGACACCTTGCTCGGGGTATCGTATCCTTGTCACTTCTCTCAAAAATGGCTGGCTTGTGTTCAAATTCTTGTTTGCATATCCAATTGGAGCATCTTTTATAAATTAAGTGATTTTTTAATAAACTCCGGTTCTAGTAATCAATGCTTATTTACATGCGCCGCTGCCGGATGCTCATGTTACTTCCTAATCACTCCTGATTTGTTTTTTCTTGCGTATTATTCCTAAGAATAAGTTTTTGCTTATCACCCGTAGGGAATTTGGATATAACCCATATAGAAACTATCTGTAGAACACTAGATGGCATAACAAAAGATACCATTGGCTATAATATTTTTATTGCGCCCCCCATTGTGTGCATGTATCCGTTACAATAATTAACATTTGCCTATGCGTTGAGGAATAATATGTTTAAATCTGGCATGAAATTACAAGCACATTTTATTTATAGTTCAACTAATAATCAACTTTCTGCATTCAGAATAATAATAGCTGATATGTATACTTCAAACATTTTCGTGTGTTATATGATATAACTCTAACTGCAACTATAATGATATTTTGGTTGTGGTTTATCTAGCTCCAGTAATGAAGATTTAGGGACATTTACAGGTTATGATGTGTCCAAGTACAGGTATGAAGATATGTCTAACTGCAACTAGGAGTCGTATGATATATTTGTCATGATTTATCTCGTAACAATTAAGAAGAACTGGTTATGAATTTCTCAGAACTTCAAATACATTTATGAAGATTGATGCTTCTATTTATGTATAATTATGTCTATCGTATATAGTTAAGTACTGTTTAGGTATGGTCATTTAGATCCAACCGAGGTGTTCCGTTTAAGTAACTTTACGTAAATATAGTATATTTGATCTGTTTAAATATGTATATTATGAAAATCTAACAGATGTACTCCCTCTGATCCATATCACTTGCCGCTCAAACAGATGTATCTACGTCTAGACACATCTGTTTGAGCGACAAATAATATGGATCTGAGGGAGTAATATATTTTGGTAATTCTGTGGATGTAACAGCAAATCGGAGAACCATGCATGGTGTGCAGGTGTTTTACTGGTTCAATAGTTTGATAGATCTGACAAATTAATTAAGCTGGCCCAAATATTAATATGGTAAACTATCGTCACCAAAAAATTTGTCAGGCATAGAGAACACATACAGACACAAAAGAATTTTAATTCAAAAAACTTGCATCACCCGGCGTACAGCTAGCCTCATATCTCCCAACAGAATGAAGAAGAAAAATATATATCGTATAACCAGTGGACCGAAAGGGAAAAGAAATACTCACATAAATGGGCTACAAATTGATTGTCGCCCCCCTCGATGGTAATCCGAAATTAGTTGTTGCTGCTTTCGTGCTCGTGCCGGCAGAGAGAACATGCATCCCTCTGGTTGCCTCCCTCGCCGGACGTCCGGCCAGCCACAGCACGTACCCCGGTGACTTGCTACTCTAGCTCTTCAGCCCCCGTGTCCCGCAACGGCCGGCGTCGACGTTAAAGTAAGGAAGCACATGGATGAGTGAAGAGGCCAAGATCTGCATCTCAATCGGAGGATGAGATGTTGGTGATAGTAGGGAAAATAAGGCTTGCTAATTAAGGAGGATGAGATGGTGGTAAAAATAAGGTTTGCTGATGTACAAGAACGGCTTGCCAACTCTGTTAGTTGTCTCTTATAGCTAGAGGCTGGGTCCCGAATGGCTGCACGCCTGTGACCAGCTCGGCAGCTTCGATGTGAGTGCTAGCAGCTTCGATGTGAGTGCTACTTTACATGAACTTTAGGTATTATAGTAGTACTAGTAGTACTAGGAATATATTCGATTAGAGCTTTATTGGTTGAACCCACATGCCAAAAGCCAGCTTAAAATAAAGCATGTCGGCTTTATGATTTATTATTGGCGCCATCAGCTTTTTAGTTTTTTATAACCTCGACGTTGTGGTTGGCTTCACGCGCTCACCCCAGAGAAAAAGGTATTTCACGCGCTCGCTCGATAGAATACAGTTTTGTGCTTGCAAAGAGAGCCTGTATCAATGAGAACACATAGTTGCTGATGTCACGGATGACATCACAAATCGGCACCATCCTAATTTTGAACCCAAATATTTTTTTTACAATTCGAACTAGTTAGGATGTGAATAATTAGGATTGTAAGAAAAAATAGGTACAAGATTCTGAAAGAAGCTGGGTGGAGGATCGATTCTCAAGTTTATGGAAGACTACACAAATCGGCACCATCCTTTGTGAAGTTTTCTGGCCAACAAAGACTACACTCTAGCGGACACCACTTCAGAAACCTCTTAATTTCTTTGCCACAAAAAAAACCTCTTAATTTCTTCACATGCATAGTATCGTACTTTTTACTTTTTCCTTTCTTACACCTTTCACACACCAAAAAATCGATTATTCTACATGCTCACCTACTGGGCTCTAGATTTTAGAGCATCTCGGATGCGAATCTTCAAAACGTCCCAAATGTCGGGCCGAAAGGGTCTAGACACTTATTAGGCCTCCAACACGGATCATCAAATTCGGTCTGGATTGGAAAGAGCACCCAAAATCCCACAAATCATTCTCAAATTGGAGAAGCTATGGACAAGTTCGGACATCCCTTCGCTCCAACGTCGGTTGGATCACGTCACCCCACAACATGTCTCCCACTCATCTCTTTCTCCTATCGGCTCGCCTGGCCCACTTTAAGTCATAGCCCACGTTCTGGATTTGAGAGACATGGTTAGATGGACGGCCTATTCACAGACACGCCCGGACGTGTATGTTGTCATTTGATGAAGTCCGTTTGCTGATCCACGTTGGAGATGCCCTTCGTCTGAACCTACATGAACTAGTAGACTGCCCGTGCGTTGCCACGGGCCGAAAATGAATATGTAAACAATGCTCAATTTATAGCTACAATCATCTTCCGTTGTAAACGTTGCCGCGGGCCTCGTTGTAAGCTTTTTTCTGGTTTCTTGCTCCTCCATTTTATTGCTGCAATCATCTTCTATTCCGACACATGCTTCCAATCCTATGTTTTGGATACCTCCAGATCGAACGCAGCCCAATTCTTTCTATCCTTGTCTTTCTTCTCGCGGAGGCAGCATCTCCTTAACCATCAGTGAAAAACAAAGCAGCCTATCTCTTGTCGTCCCTCCTCCACATTCACCTTTATCTCTTTTTTTGAAATGAGGCAAAAGACTTGCCATTTTCATTGATTAGAGAGTGAGAATTGCCCATGAATTGATGAGAAACCAGGCTAAAACCGACATATCCAACCAACATAACATCGGTACACCGGCCAACCTGGCTATCGACATAGAACATAAAGCTACAAAGAGGAAAAGACATCTGGCGAGTAGTCGCAAGCGTCATCGTCATCACCTGTTACCTCCGAACGAGCAACTCCGACTTCAGCATAGTCCTTCTTCGTCGAAGCCAACCCCGCAAGTAGCTGCACCAAAACCATGACGACAGATGTCAACAGAAGGCCACACGCGCAGACACCGACAACTCCGACTCTGACGACGAGCATCACAAGGGAAATGTGAAGGACTTGCGGCGCTGCAGCTTTGACTTCAAAGCAACCAAACAACCAGCGAAAGAGCATCTCAGACACGTCGAGAAGATCTGACTACCGAAGCCCGAGC